CGTGCCTTTTTCAAAAATAATCTGTAAGGATACTTCCTGTCAGAAGGATTTCCTCTTCCTGAAGGGTTTTACCATTTATTTAATAATAATAATAATAATAATAATAATGACGGTATTGGTACCCACTGAATATAAAACACGGCATGACAGAGTGGGCCAATCTGCATTGTGAAATATGCAACTTCTATGGAGAGAAAACAGAAATAAATTGGTATTAACACCACCCAGACCCGGTTACGGACATAGGACCTGTAACAAATTTATGGGACTACACAATACACACAGACAGAACAATCGAAGGTAATCGCCCAGACACAGTTATTAGAGACCGCAAACAAAAAAGTGCCTCCTTATTGATATGGGCGTTCCTGCAGACTGCAATGTATCTTCTAAAAGCTTTCAAATTACAATGACCTTGAAATCGAAATCTCAAAAATTTGACACATGAGATCATCAACAATCCCTACAGCTGGATTGATTGGAAAAGATTCCAATAGACTCATTGAAGCGATTCCTAGAAGCCCATGCCTTAAAGAAATACAAAAAGAAAATTGTTCTCACGTGTACAGACCACACCTTACGAAGGGCTTTATCTGTGTTTTTTTTTTTAAATTGTTCAGTGGAAAATGTCATGTTGCCATTTTTGACCGTAGGTCTCTGGGCCAGACCCAGAAAGAAATGAGTACACCGGTACAAGACAGAAATCAAAGGGAATAATAATAATAATAATAATAATAATAATAATAATAATAATAATAATAATAAACTGGTATGAACACCACCCAGACCCGGTTACGGAGATAGGACCTATTACAATTCTATGGGACTACACAATACACACTGACAGAACAATCAAGGCCAACCACCCAGATATTGTTATTAAAGACCACAAACAAAAACGGTGCCTCCTTATTGATATGGCAGTCCCTGCTGACTACAATGTATCTTTGAAGATATTCAAAAAGTTGTCAAAATGCAAGGACCTTGAAATAGAAATCTCGAAAATGTGGCATATGGGAACATCAACAATCCCTGTTGTAGTTGGAGCCCTAGGACTGTTTGGAAAAGATTGCAGTAGACTAATTGAAGGGATTCCTGGAAGTCCATGCCTCAAGGAGATACAAAAATTGTTCTGACAAGTACAGCCCACACACTTTACGAAGGGCTTTATCTATTTTTTTTTTTTTTTTTTTGTCAGTGAAAAAGTGTCATGATGCCATTTCTAACTTAGGTCCCTGGGGGACCCGGAAAGAAATGTAAACGCTAGAAATCAAAGAAAAAAAATAATAATAATAATAATAATAATAATAATAATAATAATAATAATAAAGAGAAGAGCGCAAGTTAAGAAAAGATGAAGAAAAGAAAAAAAAACAGATATTATTTTAAAATATTGTCTAACAGTGTCAAACACTGTTTTTTCCTTTATCTTTTCTTAAATCTTGCTCTTCTCTTACCTGTTGAAAAATATTGTAAGATTTGCTTAATAATAATAATAATATAAAAAACTCCAAATAAAGATCAAACCATCACCTAATGAATAAAAAAAAACAACTATCACGACAGAGTGGGCCAATACTTACATGGGACAATGTGCAAACACTTTGGAAAAGATGTCAATAAACACTGGTATGAACATCACCCAGAACCGGTTACAGAAATAAAGACATCACAGTTCTATGGGATTACATCATCTTTACAGACAGTCAGATTGAAGCAAATAGGTCGGACATAATTGTCAAAGACCAAAAAGAAAAAAACTTGCCTACTAATTGATATGGCCTGCCCAGAAGACTGTAATATAGAAACCAAGGAATTTGAAAAAAACTACTTGGAAATCGAAATAGAAAAAATATGGAAATTGAAAACAAGAACAGTACCAGTCATAGCAGGTGTGCTTGGAATGATAAAAAAGGAACACAACAACACATTGAAAAAATCCATGGAAATCCAGGCTTAAGAGAAATACAAAAATGCCTTGATAAGTACAGCCGACACACTAAGAAGAATGTTGTCTATGTAACGCTAGTGATGGTATGGAAGTTGTAAAAACAAATGTAACGATAACAACACACTACTACTTACCTTAGGTCTTTCCGCAAACTTGGTAGGTAGTGTGACCATAGCAGAAATCGAAATATAATAATAATAATAATAATAATAATAATAATAATAATAATAATAATAACCCACTACTGCATAAAGTTTTCTTAAAGTCTTATCACTGTTTGCCTAATTCACATGGTTGGCTAATCTTAGGTCTGGCAGTTTTTTACATTTTAGACAAGAATGAATTGGTTAAGCATCTTACATTACAGGGTCTTCTTTCAGATAAGCAATATGGTTTTCACTTCTCTTGGTCAACTGCTGATGCGTTAACGATTATTCCTGAAAGAGTTTATCAAGCTTGAGAAAAGATTAGTGAAGCTCGGACTGCTGCTTTGGATATTTTGAAGACATTTGACAGGGTTTGGCATACTGTTCTTCTTCTTCACAAGTTGAAAGGTTATGGTATTTCTGAATGAATTTTTGATCTGATTCAATCTTTCTTATTAAATCACAAAATGAAAGTTGTCTTGAATGTCCACTCTTCTAAATCTTTCCGCATAAATGCAGGTGTTCTCCAGGGCTTTATCCTTGGACCTACATTGTTTCTAAGTTTCAGTAATGACCTTCCTGATATCATCTGTTCTCAACTCGGTATCTATGCTGATGACACAACTATTTACTCCTGTCTTAATAGTAAGTCTGACCGGTTCGATAGTCAATTATTTGGCAGTTGATCTAAAAAAAAAAAAAGAAAGACCTACAATCAGTTGTTAAATGGGGCAAGGAGTGCCTTGTTACTTTTAACGCCTCAAAAATGAAACAGATCAATCAATTACATATGTATAAGTCTACCATTTATTCCACCTTTGAATTTTGCTGCCACGTCTGGTGCTCCTGCTATATATTTAGAAATTATTGATAAAATTCTATAGCGAAGAAAATGGCGACTTACCTCGTCAAACCAAGCGACAGCGCGTCACGTGTATTCTACGAGAGAAAAAGTGGCGAAAAAGAAAATTACTTACCAAACAAAAGGGCACGTATTCCGCATGACATGGTGAAGATAGAATATTTGAATTAAAAAACAAGTCCGTCACAGTCGCTATAAAAGTATTTTGATATGCAAATTACTGAACATCCTCTCCCAGCTGTCGACGAATGGAAAAGAAGACGTTCGGCTGATAAAAGCAGTTGGTGTTCTCGAATCGGGGGAAAAAGTCGGCGATTTTGGCTGCCGAGGGAGTTATTTTTCTGACTGGTTGCATGCATTGTGATTTGTGAAATAGTACTTGCGAATCGAGATTTCAGCATTTTCTTTTTGTCCCCGATGTTCGAGTCTGAACTTAGTGATTTATTCTCGGCGACGTGAAAATAATCTGCGACAAACATTTCCTTTGCAATCCCAGATCGCTTACAAATTCCAAGAAGAAACCGCAATTTTGTTGGTACTGATTTGGCATCTCATCTTCAGTCCCCTTTTGACTGTCGTAACGTGGCTTCCCTGTGTCTTTTCTATAAATATTTGATGATAATTGTGCTGATGAACTTCCCTGTATGGTACATAGACTTTATGAATTTAAGCGCAGTGCTAGATTGGTGGCAAGGTCTCATCAATTTACAGGCAGTTATTCTATGGAGCCAATTGTCCAGGGAGAAATTGTCCTGATGCAGACGTTCCGGGGGCAGTTCTCCTGATGATAGCTAACTCTCTACTTGAGGTTAACCTTAATATAAAAAAACCCCAAAAAAACTCGTCAGCAAATAATTTATCAACAAAACATTGCAATGATAATCAGAAAAGGATATAATTACACTCAAACAATCTGAAATGAGTAATTATTGCAATCTTAGCCTCATTATCAGGATTTATTTTTAACTGTTGATAAGTGAAATTACGTCCATTTTTGAAAACCATCGTTTTACAGATAAACGGATTTTTATATTTAATATAAGATATTGTTCCCTTTTTCTAATACTATTCTGAGTATACTAATTAACGTAGCATCGATAATTACCCTCATATTTTGAAAATAGAGAGAGAGAGAGAGACAGACAGACAGACAAAGAGAGAGAGAGAGAGAGAGAGAGAGTAGAAGTGTACATTGATTTTCAAACTTTCCTGAATTCTGATACTTTTTGAAATTCCGTTCATAGAAATCTGTTTAGAGGCGTGGAGATTGGACGCAATTATTTAAAATCATTTCATCCAAAGCAAAGCAACAAAGCAAGTAAGATGCAAAGGGCTACTGAGTGTCAGAGAATATGATTAAAAAATAACACTATTAAGGAGTAATAAAAATAAAAGTAGATAACGATTGACATTGCATTTAAAATTTTTGACGATTGATAAATAATTAGTGAGAGAATTTGTTGAAGATGTCGGTACATTCACATTTATTTGCCTTTCTGTATTATTGCCCGTAATATAAATTTTATTTTTACAGACTTTAGTTAAATCAAAGTTGCTTAAAAAATCAGAAGGCAAAATAAAAAAAAAAGAATCATTACGAAAGTCCATATTGGAAAAATTTTGCTAATTGTTTTTTTAGCGGCATATCGACCTCTATAAGTTGTCTAATGCCGAAATCAAAATATTTGGACGCAATTTTTATTTTATTTTTGGAAATAATAATGGTTTCCTTATACAAGTTTATCTAATTAACCCATAGATGGAGGGAGAAGAGGTAAAGTCATATCGTTCCCAAGGATATTTAAATATAACAAACCGAAATGGAACTGAAATTTGACTCTATTCTGAGCCATTATCCATCGCACCAACTGGATATTCCAAAGAAAAATAGATTAAAAAAAGCAACGCCAAGTAAAGATGGATTCATGCCTTTTCCAAGGGTATTTGAGTGCAAGTGAACATAACGAACACAACGGGAAGTAGAAATTGTCTTTCCGATTCAGAGCCATTTTCCGTTATACCACCCGCACATCCAAGTTTTCAGCCTTTGGTATTCGCAAGCGGTCACCCATCTAGGTACAGACTGGGCTCGACGTTGCTTAACTTCAGTCATCGTATGGGAACCTGTATTTCAACTTGATGTGGCTGTGAGTCCTTTTTGAACAAGGAAATTCAATCTCCAGATTCGCTTGTCCTTGATATTTTTATTTTCTCACAACCGGCGAATGTGATTGATATATAAGTGAGGTTCAGATATGATATAGAAGTGAGGTTCAGATACGATATAGAAATAGGGTTCAGATATGATATAAAAGTGAGGTTCAGATATGATATAAAAGTGAGATTCAGATATGATATAGAAGTGAGGTTCAGATACGATATAGAACTGAGGTTCAGATATGAATTTAGGTTCAAACGATTTCGTTGATAAGATAAATTTGTAATACAGAAACAATAGCACCAGTAGTGTCAGTAATACATTTTTTTTAAATTTCTGCAGCTAGAACTGGTACAAGAGTCTCGTCCCCCCCCCCGCCACACACACACCGAATTTATGATACACCTCACTCTACTACATCTCAATTTTCGTTATGTAGTATTCATATCAAATATAAATTTTATTGTAATCTAAATGTGTACAACAATTGATCATATGCAATATGGGCCAACAGTTCAACTAGAAAAACTGAAAATAAATCCAATGTATCTAAATACAAATTAGAGACATGTCATAATAGACTATTCCCTTTTAATTAAATCAACAATGTTTTGCGACCGTCCTGGGTATGTACGATAAACTTCATCCGCGTCCTGGGTAAGACGATAAACTACGTCCAACAGCAAGGCCTCTGATCAGGAGGTTTTGAGGAGCGTGGAACCACCTCTTAATTTCTGGTGTTCCCAGGTCCACCCTGACCCGGGGTGGTAGCACTTGTTAGGGTGCCAGCTATGGGTAAATAGTTGCCCCCACAACCTGCCTCAAAACACTATGAAAGTGTAAAAATAGATATTAATACCAGAAATACTTAAAAAAAATTAGTATCAGCAATAAATATTTGAAAAAAGAAAATATTACGAGAAATAAAAATCTTGTCAGCATTAAATTACCCATTGAGGTTAATATGCCACAAAAAAAGAAAAAAAAGAACAATGTTTTGCGAAAATGTTTAGCGTCAACTTCAAATTTTTCTGGTTAAAAAGTTTAATGATTTTCAACACATTCAGCGTTATGGATAAAATCTAGTGTGTTTTATATAGTGTTTTTTCGTTATGGATAAAATCTAGTGTGTTTTATATAGTGTTTTCTTCGTTATGGATAAAAACTAGTGTGTTTTATATAGTGTTTTTTCGAGACTTAGCATGTGCAAAAAAAATTCATGGATTTTGGAAAAAATGACCCCAGAATGATGTCAAAATCTGCAAAAGGTTTTTATCCTTTAATAGGTTTACTTAGTTTAATTTGTAACATATATAAATGTAGGTTGAAAAAAATCAAATGTTAAGATACTGAGTGTCACAATGCACTGCCTTGGGCCCCTATCCCAAGTTGGAGAGGGATTAAGTGTAGTACGCACCAGACGTCTCTGTAGCTCTTGTGACGTAGCCATTTCCAGGAATGATGGGTCGGTCTGAGCATAACGTCACATAATTCGTTTTTATGTAACTATGAAAAAGAGTTGTTGGTCAGGAGCTGGTTAGCATTTGAAGGATAATTTGCCTGTGGGCACCATGTGCGCCAAGATTTACGTGTGCTCGCCTTCTCGTAGTAAATATTCATGCTATGCATTATTTTAGATTGTTGTTCTTTCTCTTGTATTTTTACGATATTTTTTGTGATTATTACATTATTTTATTTTATTTTATCTTCTATTTGTTATGGGAACTTACCCATAATAATAATGGACTATTCCTGACATAAATAAATACTGCGTCGCTCAAGAGGTATCAGAAAATTATAAGACGAGGAGAGATAATTGAGAGCATATTGTAAGGGCATTGGAATAGTGATACTTGTCGAGACAACATAGTTCACTCTAACCAAATCTGATAGTCATTACTAATACTTCTACTTCTTTGTATTATATTTCTGTTGTAATATAGCTTTGTAATCCATACCTGTGTTCGTGTTATTCTTTCATTGGTTCTAACCTTGGACCATCACTGTGGTACAAGGAACTTGGACCATAACACTATTCAATAAGAGGAAGGGCTGAATTTATCTGCTAGTTTAGTTACCTGAATAGTGATTAGGTCTTGTTTTGAATCAATGGCAGTTTTTATACAGTGGCATAAAAAAAAGTTTTTAGCCAAGAGAAATAAACTACATCCAATTTCAAAATTTAATTACGTAATCCCTACTCAACATAAATAAACAGTATTTGGAACTAGTATAGAGTAAGTCCTCCATTTGCTAGTTTCAGTGCTTGTATTCGATTTTTCATGGATTTGATCCAAGTTATCAACAATTGTCTGATCCATATTTTGCCACTCCTTCAGCAATGTTTCTTTAAGGGTTGCCACTGACGTGATTTTGGTTGTATGCTCTCGAAGTTTTCGGTGAAGGTGCTCCCAAATGTGCTCTGTTGGATCTATGTCCGAACTTTGGGCTACCCATCGCAGTGACTTGATTCCTTGTGATTCCTTCCAGGCCTTTGCTACGTTGCTCGTATGACATGGCGCTCCATATTCTTCAAAAGGTAAGACACTCTTGTCAATCTGATTGCTTTCAAATAGTAAGAGTATTGCTTTCTTTAATATTTGACAGTATTTTGGACCATTCAACCGCTCGTCAACAAGAATCAGCTCAGATTTCTATCCAGACCAGATAGCGCCCCACGCCATTACTCAAATCCCGCCATGTTTCACGGTTGCCTGCAGACATTCTGTGTTCCAAGTTTCATTCTGATTTCTCCAAACAAAAACCTGTCTCGAATTCGAATATTGGCAGAATTTACTTTCATCTGAACAAATTACAGTCTGCCAAAATTCTCTCGCCCAGTCCGTACGCCTGTTCCTGTTAACCTCTGAAATCAAGGGCTTCTTTCTTGCAACTCTTCTTTGATAACTTAGCCCTTTCTCACCGCATATGGCGACATTTCCATGCTGTTGACGACATCTTTAACGCTCTGACGATGGTTTCTAATAACTTCCATCTTCAGCGCCCCTTTCGTTCACTCAGACACGATGCTTGGTCTTCCTGTTGTTCCACACGACAATGGCCTTCTTCATTAAATTTCTTGACAATAACCGTTTGATGATTAACCTGGAAAAACCTAGCAATTTTTCTATTTGACTTACCACACTGATGCCTTCCAATTATTTGCCCTCGTTGAAATTCACCAATTTCCTTAATTCCGCGAACTTTCATTGTAAAATATAAGTCAATTATCGTTCATAGATTAGATTAGTTAGATACTAATACGTTATTGTCTGAAAAAAAGATACGTTATTACACAAGCCAAAACTGCTGTAATTAAGGGTGGCTAAAAACTTATCATAGCTTACTGTAGACGAAGGTATTACGTATAGATAGATTTATTGGACTATTTTTATTTATTGACCGAGGCTAACATGTGATTTTGATGGTAATGTTTTTTAGTTTTTTTACCAATAGAAACACGTCTATTGCTAAAAATTACCATCACAATCTAGTATATACTAAAGCAAACGAAAACATCCGAACAGATTAGCTGAAATCGCTAGATCATCTGGACAGTTCTTACACGCTCTCTATATAAATCTCCTGTAGATATGCAAGAAAAATATAATTAAAAAATCTTAATTCCAGTACCTTACCTTGTCAGTCATCTTCAATGAAACATATATATATATATATATATATATATATATATATATATATATATATTAAGAAATGGACAGTCCGACAAATTTCTCGGACATTCAGGCCGGTAAATGTTATTTAATACTGTTTATTATAAACAGAGCATTTACTTAAATACTTGTATCTATTAAAAGAACGTTAAACATAAAAATGTCTTTAATAAATAAATTGTCGGACTTTGTCCATTTCTTAATATATGACGTCATTTGTTTACATTTGATACGCCAGAGCAGTTATGAATGTACGAGATTCATAGAAGATTGAAGTTTATAAGCAGTAAATTCGACCTTGTCTATCGAACGCTCCTTTGTGGCCGAGACGGTAAGGCACTTCAGCGTAAATGACGGTTCCGTATAGGATGCAGATTCGATTCCTCTCAAAGAACGAATATTTTCTATGAAAATTTCTCGGACATTCAGGCCGGTAAATGTTATTTAATACTGTTTATTATAAACAGAGCATTTACTTAAATACTTGTATCTATAAAAAGAACGTTAACCATAAAAATGTCTTTAATATATATATATATATATACCTACATGTATATATATATATACTAAAAAGAAACAAAAACTTAGATATCTTACTGTTCTTTCTTTATATAAAGAAAGAACAGTAAGATATATAATCCGGTGTTCTTATAGATATTTTTATTTTTACGAAATAGTGCTCAATGTAAATTTACAGAGCATTAATATTATAAATTAATTGATTTAAAATATGTTTTTTTTCGCTACACAGTTCTAACTATGTTTCAAAAATGGAAACTAAAAGCCACGAATTTAATCTTGTAATTAAATTAAAGACATTAGTTCCATTTCTCCTCAAGTGAAAAGTTACTTCAAAATTCGCTTTAATTTAATTACAAAATTAAATTTGGGACTTTTAGTTTCCATTTTTGAAACATAGTTAGAACTGTGTAGCGAAAAAAACCATATTTTAAATCAATTAATTTATAATATATATATATATATATATATATATATATATATATATATATATATATATATATATATAATAGTAATACTGGTTGGTAAAAACCTCGGATTGCACAACTTGTAAGGATATCAAAACAAATTGAAACCCGAGGAAAAGACTGGAAAAAAAAGAAAGAACTAGAAACATCCGACCAGGGTAAAACAAATCGTCCAATGCTTTAAGGTTTTAATCCAAAGAAAATAAACCAAGCGAGTAATAAAGCTAAAACGCAGAGTGCTCAATACGCTTAGTAAAGCTGGGAAAAATAAAATAATTTCGAAACACCACGTTTTTCCTATCTTATTCTGTCACGTGGTTTTATGCT